GACATCCACCCCTTGGCGCTCATATGACCTTATGCAGGTTGCGAGGGCACTCTCTGCCTCCACCCACTCACCTCCTTTGTCTTCTCCTCTGGGTTCCTGACTCTTTTTGCAGCCTTCCTACTGCTACTCCTTGGCTCCTTCTTACTGCTGTCTTTCAGCCAAACCCCTGATTTTCTGGTAGGAAAGATCTACACTTAGCCTTCTCGGACAAGGGCGAAAAATCTCGGAGGTCTAGTGTGCAAGTTGCGCAGGTTAAAGATCCCTTGGGGGTCCAAAATCGATAAAAGAGTAGGCTACGGCCGCCACCCGGGCAAAATTCAAAATTTCCTTCCTATTAAAAATGCTTTGTGTGTCCCGTACGCTCATATGACCTTACGAGCGCCGTAAAACACTTGCCAATTTTATTATTTATTTTTAAATTAGAAGATATTTCTCACCACCAGGCACTAAAATGTTTCCGGTGTCATAAAGACATCCGTCATGATAAACTTTTTTTTCCATTCACACATCAGCTGCATTAGAATATTTCCTCGTCGCATATAATTTAATGTATGAGAAAAAGCAAGGCCTGGCCGTCTCTGTAACATTACCTTTCTGTTAATGTGTTATATATTACATCACAAAAGGTTCAGAATTTTCAAAGAATCTTTGCAAGCTTCCGCTCTCAAGTGTTTCTTCTCGAACGCCCGACATTAATTTGTTGTTGCTCTTCATACCCATTCTCACGAATAAGACACATTGACAGAGATCAGTGTAAAAAGGAAGCTTCTATTCATGACGCTATCAGAAAGACATAATATAATATTACTGTCTTCAATCTTTTCTGTTGTTACCATCCAGAATATTTTTTTTAATGTCGAACAGAAATAGGAGGACCTCTGTATAATCTTGTACAATGATGCATCAAGAGTTCATTCTACGCCCCCAAGCACACATCAGTTCCCCTTCTGCTCAATCAAAGGACAGCGCTTTTAAAGCAAGCAGAAATAAACTCCAGCGCGGGATGCGTAGAATGAACTCTTGATTAGAAGAAAGGGCAAGTTAGACTCTGAAGTACGCCGACTCTTACAAATACCCAGAAATTCTATGAAAGTCTTTAAAAAAACAACCATGGCCCTTTGTCTTTCGACATTACGTTGCTTTTTTCGGCAAATGGTGAGACAAGAAGAACGGACACAATTAATACTGTTCTTGACCGTTGGGCAGAACACTTCGATTCTTTTTTAAATAGACCTTCAAATATGAACTCAACACACAATTCCATAGTTCTTCCACAGACACCCACCATCTTTAAGCTTGCAGGTCTCCCAACTTTTAAGTAAGGGAACTAAAGCAGCTGGTAGAACAGCTGTCTCTGAATAAGCCTCCGGGGGATGATCCGATTTCAGCTGAAATATTATCAGAATTCTACTGTGGTGAATCGCTCATTCAAGGGCTGGCAGAGCTATTCAAAATTATGTTTGATTGTGAACTACCTCAGCAGTTCAAAGACCAAACAACTGTGCATACGTACAACCCCCCCCCCCCCCCCCCCCCCCCAAAAAAAAAAAAAAAAAATTCCAACAAACAGATAGACAAACAACAAAAGCAACAAAAAAAAACTAAACTAAAAACGAAAACAAAAAACAACAGCCAAAAAAAACAAAACAACAACAAACAAACACCCAACCCAAAGGTGATCGTCGTCGCTTTTCACTCCTCTGCATTGCTGGAGTGATTCTTGACAGTACTTTCCTGAACCGCTTACTTGTCCATTTCCCTGCAAATATTCCACTGCCTGAAAGTCAGTGTGGCTTTCGGGGAGAGAGAGGCATAGCGGAATAACATGATACATGTATTTGTTGCCCGGCAAATACAAGAGAAAAGCTGAGAAAGAACAAAACATGGATCTTTACTTGTCATTTGTTGACCTCACTATTGTATTTGACACCGTCTGCGGTGAAGCCCTGAGGAAAATTATTGTAAAATTCAGATGCTCACCTTGGTTCACCACCACTAGGAGATATAATTTCATGATTGGCACGATGGCATGCTGGCTAGAGTCAAGAGCCACTGAAAACTTTCTGAGCCTTTCACTATCATAAATTGCGTGAAGAAAGGTCGTGTACATTGGCTCCAATTCTTTTCAGCATCATTTTCTCTGAAATCTTGGTGGACGCTTTCAGATTCAGATTAACCAAGCATGACTGTTAGTTAAGAACTGACTTGAATGTTCATGACGCACGAGTCCTTTCGAAGTTGAAAGCCAAACAAGCTAAAAAGGTTCTGAGATGTGATCTCCTGTTTGCCGTGGATGACTGCCCTGTTGTCCCACGTCGAGATAAAAAACAAGCAAGAATGCATGAATTCTTCCTCCAGCGCATTAGACAATTTTGAGTTTATCGTCAGCACAAAAAGACTGAAGTTCCTCTACCAACCTGCCCAAAACTCACAAACATAGTACCCCCCACATAGCCTGTTCATTTTCGTCTTGAATTAAAACAAAATACAATCAGATATCGGTCTATTCAATTTTCTTAGGTCTTTGCATGTGGGCCCTAAAGTTAGATGACCAACAGAATCTAAAAGCCCATTCATTCAGTGGCCATGCAAACTCACTTTCCGACAAGCTTTCTTTGGTATTTGCCTAATGCCTGTTTAAAAAATTATGAATGAATGCAACTGGAGAGTTAATGCATACACCTCAAACAAAAAAGTGTACCTATTTTTCATCAACACCACACTTTAACAGCTTCGGTGAGTTCTTGTCGAAAGACACCTGGAGAAGTCTTGACAGCCGTGGGATGAAATCTACAAGCTAACACTGAAATGTGGAGGCAGGGTGGTGTCGATGTCTCAAAATGAACTATTTGTGTGCTAGATTATTGTTGATCATTAAAATTTATCTTAGTGATCCTGCGTATGCAGACAAGGGGCGGATTTATTATTTTTTAAGTTAGTAAATGGTTAAATAGAGAAATGTTACAAGAGAAACGTTGTTATTACTGGATGAAGATTTTAATTTTTTTTTTTTAAATTATTTAATTTAATTAATTTTTTTTTTGGGGGGGGGGGGGGGTAGATGTTTCTGTTTGGTCGCTGGCCTGTAGAAGTGCCATGCAAAATGCTAAGTTTCCAGGGCATATGTATAATAAATGAGCTAGAATCTGGTGGGTTCATCACGGACAGACACAAGTGAAACAAGCTACTATAGATCTAGGCCTATAGTCAGAATTGACTTGTTGCAACGTCTTACCGTTGTCTTTCAGCCCCGCCTCCGCCCCCGGCAGTATCACAAGAAAGCCGAAGAAGCCAAGATTACGCCGGCCCTAGGCCTTGAAGGCATATCTGGCGCCGGCCCTATCGACAGTGGCCGTTGAAACATTCGGCGCTTTCGGTCCGCTAACAACCCCAGTTCCTTCAGAAAGTCGGTCGTCGGTTGGCAAACGCCACAGGTGACCCAAGGGAAATATATGAGGTGGAATTGTTAGACAGAATCTCTTTGAGGAAAGATGCAACGCGTTCTCAATATTGGCGGCCCTAATGGCGCGCGAGTGATGGATCACTGCTCCTTGGACATCAATCGACATGCCCTCATACTCACAGTAGGACACTGATTCACCGATAGTCAGCGATTTCCTAAAGAACTGCTTACTTTTAATACAAAATGGGCACATCCGCTTGGGATGAGAGGGACAGAGGTTCCCGATCCTCCAACTTTCTCATGACCATTCTGTATTATATTGCTGTGAGCATTGTCTCCAGACTGAAACACTGTTTCATTTTTACTCCTTCTTCCAATATAAAATTGCCACGTCCCTTATTAATTTCATAGTTGCCCTTGGGGTATTGTCTCCTAGTAACAGGTGACAATTGATGCTAATATCGTGACAGAGAAATCAAAACTATAGCGTGTGGTAAAAAATTCGGGGTGCAACGTTAAGCTATCCCCAATAATCTCTTTAACTGGTAAATCCATTTCAGCCATACTTTGCAAAGCAGTTTTATTGTATCTGTATTACCTGTATTACCTGTCCTGGGCAACAACGTCATTGCACTCCGGGCAGGTCCATATATAAGTGCTCAGTTCCCCCTGCACCAAAGCCCGAAAGGTATCCATACTGATTGTTGCGATGGCTGTCTGATTATGGCGACGTCTTTCCTTTCCAGATAATCGTTCCTTTCTTCCTTCTCCCCTCTCTATCCCCATTTCCCGCATCCTGATGATTGCGTGGTGTTCTGCTGTCTCGACCCTATCTTCTTCATCCCGCAACTTTTTCTCAAGGGTCTTCAACACTTCTCCATTGTCAAATTTCACCTCACCATCTACCACGGCACTGGCCTCCCCATTGCCTTTCACTCCAGAGTGCCCAAGACAGAATAGATCTATCCACGTGATGGCTCAATTGGTCTTACTGCCGGTGGCGGAGGTGGGGCTGAAAGACCAATTGTATCAATTTGTCTGAACTTATTCATGTCACAGCCCACATATTACCCTTTTTAGTGACAAAAAGCATTACAAGAAATTAATTTTGTGAACACATTTTTGCACTAGAGGTTCTCAAAACACGTCCAATAAGCCTAATAATATAGATTCTAGCGATTAGAGAAACATGGCATAGATTATTTGCTTTTAAAAAACGATTATATTTCTCCAAATGTAAACCTTTAGAAATCTGTAGAAATTACCACCCACTTGGATTTTTTGTTAGTATTTGGCTTTATTAAAGGGGGGGCTAGAATACAACTAACATGTGTTTACAAAAATTTTAATCTGTTAGGGGGGGGGGCTACAAGTCATTGTGCAAAAGCTAACTATTCCGATTCGGGATTTTTCACTAGTAGTAGATCTAGTAGGGGAAGTTGGATTGCGACAGTCTACTCATCAAAAGTAAATAGGTCTAGATTCTAGCTGTTTGAAAACCAACGGAATGTTTCTGGCATACGTACAGGGCACAGAATTCTACACTAAGTGTAGAATTCTGTGGTACACATAGATGTACTCTATGGTGGTACAGTGTCAAAACTCTGTATGTTTTGCGCTGTCGTAAAATAACCCTCTAACAGTTGTCTTGGAGTTAAAGAGAGACCAAACCGTTTAATCAGCCAATACGGCTATCATGCTAATGGTAACGGAATTGCTTTGTCAGAAAATAAACACGCAACACGCGACTTCTTTATCTGGTGTCTATTTATAGCATGCAAGCTGAAGAATCATCCGCATCATGTCCTAGTTTAGCGTTGACGTCACTTCCGTAAACAACAATTCATCAACAATCTTCAGCGTTCTTTTGGTTCAAGAATATTCCTGTATTTTCTCCACACTGTGTGCCTATGTTTCTGTAAGTGAAGACTGACATTCCATGCAGTTGTAAGTCTTGATAGAGAGGACAGAAAATCGTTTGGATTCTACGATTAAAAGGCATCAACAAGATAGATCTAGATCTAGATTTAGATCTAAATCTATGTAAAAAAGAAAAAAAGGGAGTGTTTTTACTCGACTCTTGCACTCTAGCTGAGTTAGTCACAGTCACAACAGTCCGAGACTCACAGTGCCAGCCTTCTTTCCATTCAAGTTCTAGGCTAGATCTATAATATAGATTCCTAATGGAGTACTTGACTTATTAATTTATTCTGACTAATGTGGGCTCAGGTTTACTGACCGTTGCGTTTTGAGGTACGATTTGTCAAAGGGGAAGACAGAATCCCCATGATTATTGTTTGTAGTACACTTCATGACGACAGCAGTTTCCAGTGCGAGAGACAGAGGTGAAAGTGAGTGAAAGTAAGGGCATGGGCATTGAGTCACATTGACATTGTAAACACTTTTTGTTTGAATTGAATTGTCATAACCTCATTATTTGGATTATAAAGCTGACATCAGTACTGTGGCAAGTGGTGTAGGTGTAGACTGCTGTGTTACCTAGGTCTAGATCTAGATCTAGATCTAGTACTAGACTACTAGAGATCTAGATCTCTAGTACTAGAACATCGGCACATAAAAACTTTATTATTACGCAGTGGCTATTTTTACGGCGAGCCGTAAAGATAGCCTCCCAGGCTATTTTTACGACGTGCCGTAAAGATAGCCTCCCAGTGAGTCCCAGGCTATTTTTACGGCGATCCTCGAAAAGCGACCCTACTCCGCCTCTCATGTACGCGACATGCCTCAATGTATTAGATCTAGATTTAGGCCTATAGGGGCCGTTCAAAATATAAACTTACACCTCAGAGGGGAAAGGGTGTCTTTGGCTTCTGTAAGAAAAGTGTAAGATTGGGTGGGGAGGTGAGATGAACGTTTTGCTCATGACTGGGAAGAAAAGGTAAAAGAAAAAATGCCAGTAACAAGACCCAGATCTGCATGATCACTGCAGATCCCCGTTGTTGTTGTTTTTTTGTTTTGTTTTGTTTTTTTGAGAGGGGAGGGGGTTACAAATAATTTTGAAATTATGATGAAAATTCTTTAGGTGGACATCTAATTTCTTAATGTTTCTTTGTAACTTTGCTACTGTTTTGTTGATCTTTTAGTGTCTTGATGTCTTTTATTTGTAAGGCACGTACCTATTGCATTGACAAGAGTCTCAATGTCTTCCACATATATGTGTTCTTTCTAGTTCATATGGTTTGATTAAATTGTTTTAACTGAAATGTTCTTTTTACGGCGGTCACAAACTGATGACGTAGAACACGTTTTTCAGTCTTATAAGTTCCATCTTGGCTTTTGTAGGCCTTGTAGGCTACTACCTTATTTGTTATTTTATACTACAGTTTACTAAATGACTAAACTAATGTAACATACTTTGAGCTGGTTAAAACCGAGAGTAAGGCACTATAATTAAATGTCCTCTATTATTAGTATTATATTATCATAATTATAATAGTCTTTATTCTGGACTTAAACAATTCAATGTTTTTATGTTCTTTACTAGATCTATATCTAGGACCTTGTTGTTGTGGGATTCTTTCAAATAATAAAATAGATCGCATTTTTAAGTTTTTGTGTTTTGTTTTAGATTCATATTTAGGAGAAAAAAATTATACGGGCATAAGGAATAATGAAGAAAGTAAATTTTGATAAGTCGGAAAATATGAAAGTTGCCATGGAATGGAAACAGCACCAACATGCAAAACAAACAATAATTTTAAAAAACCGAAGGCTTCTTACTCTCTAACAAAATTGCATGAAAATTGGTGGAATGGTAGATACAGATACTATGGTCAATCATACTGAGCAAAATTTTGATATATATTTGAATATAAAAAAAATATATGTGTTCCTGTACCCTGAAATTGCATCACAATAATTAATAAATTAATCATTGTGAACACTAAACAAAATTTTTTTTACACCTCTATAAAAGATCTGCTCAGTGCAAATTATAAGGAAGGAGGAACATTTTAAAGGCATTTCCAAGGCGAAAAGTGTTAACTCCAAAATGGCCACTCTTCTTGTGGGTGTGGTACATGTAGTGATGTCAGTGAATGAGATGATGATGCTGGCAGTGGCAGTGATGATGGTAATGATAGTGACGAGGAGGTGATGGTGGTGGTGATGATAAAGAGAGGTTGAATGATGATGGTGGGGAGAAGAAGGAAGAGGTGGTGGTGGAGGAAGGGAGAAGGAAGATGAAGAAGAGAATAGAATGACGGTGAAGAGGAGGAAATGGAAAACCTATGGGGCTGTTCAAATATAATCTTACGCTTTTGGGGACTTTTTTAAAACACAAAACCCAATACCACTTTTCTCACATTTGCCTCCAACCCCCACCTACACCAATTTAATATTAGTACTTTTTCCAATCTTCAACTTCCATTATTATTTTAAAGATACCTGTACATGTACTATACGTGGCTTTTTTTAACTAGCTTGTTAAAAAAAAAAATCATTTCAGTTAATACAATTTAATCAAACCATATGGACTAAAAAGAAACGCATATATGTGGAAGACATTGAGACTGTTGTCAATGCAATAGGTACGTGCCTTACAAATAAAAGACATCAAGACATTAAAAGATCAACAAAACAGTTGCAAAGTTACAAAGAAACATTAAGAAATTAGATATCCACCTACAGAATTTTCATCATAATTTCAAAATTATTTGTCCCCCCCCCCCCCTCCCCTAAAAAAAACAACAACAAAAAACAAAACAATGGGGATCTGCAGTGATCATGCAGATCTGGGTCTTGTTACTGGCATTTATCCACTTTTTCTTTTACCTTTTCTTCCCAGTCATGAGCAAAACGTTCATCTCACAGAAGTGTCATATTTGGTTAAAACCTCCCCACCCAATCTTACACTTTTCTTACAGAAGCCAAAGACACCCTTTCCCCTCTGAGGTGTAAGTTTATATTTTGAACAACCCCTATAAGCCTAGATCTAATACATTGAGGCATGTCGCGTACATGAGAAGCGGAGTAGGGTCGTTTTTCGAGGATCGCTGTAAAAATAGCCTGGGACTCACTGGGAGGCTATCTTTACGGCACTGCGTTATTATTATACATGCATACGTACTCTCTTATTCTTTGGAGTTGGATTAAAATTTGTTTGAATGTTTGACTGATCTCTTTTTGTCTGCCCTTTCCAGGATTTCAGGGAGGAGAGACAGTCAGGTGGTATTGCGGAGAAAAAGAATGAAACTCCCTCACACAAGCAAAAAGCAAAATTTTATCTAAACCCTTTAAGTCTGAACGCTTAAAATTATTTTTTTTAATTGTCAGAGGGCAAAGTCTTCAGTCTAACTTCATATATGTGCGGGTGATCAATTACTCAAGAAAAACATAAGAAGCCATTCTGCTTGCTGAGGTTTTTATTTGATTATTTGACATCAAATGCCATGTCAACCCCTGACAAAAACAAAAAGCTGTCTGATGAACAAGAGGGAGAGGACAATGGACAACAGGCCTCCCCGAGACGAGCTGGCATACCAGATGAGCTTCTTAATATGGTCGGAGGTAAAAATGAGTGACTTCTTTGGGAAGGGGGGGGGGGGGTCTTTCAGGCGTGTATAGTACGCTCCTGTTGCAAAGCACTTTCTTTACTAGTCTATAGCCTTTTTGCTGTTATTGGTTGTTTATTTTCTGTGGTGATGATACTTGTAGCTAATCCCTCTAAGTATTACTTTTGTACAGGCCTATGTACGTAATATTTTGTGTTTTAAAAGTATAATATGATAATGTTTGAAGAAACAGCTCTGAGACCTGTTTCTAGAATTGGTAGTCGACCGAAAACAAAATATAAAATTAAACCTTGTTTATACTGCAGCCTGTTGTACTGCCAGCCCTACCTAAGTTACTGCCAGGCTTTGCCAATGCATGAAAAGGAATACCTCTATATAAACATACCATTTTTGCCCCCTGAACCACCATCTGCCTATACTAATGTAGATTTGTCCTGATGCACTGATAGTGAATTATCCACCACTGTGTGCTTTTCTTGTCACCCGAGGTAACATGCTATTAGAGCTGGAAACCACTGTTTACAACAGTACCTCTTTATCCTGTTAAGTTTAAAAACATTTAAAAAACAGCCTCTCTCAATTTTTTTCTAATGTGTTTTTGTTGCAGCCTCTCCCCCAAAGTTTGTGAACTTTGATCAACTCATGCAGGCAGCTGATGGAATGAAGAATATGTCTCTAGCCCATGAGATTGCTGTCAACAATGATTTTGAGTTGGAGCAACAGATTGCTCCACCAAATAGGTGAAAACTTTTTTCATTTTAAAATTCCTTTTGACAGTTCACCACACTAAAAATATCAGGCATTTGCGGTGCAGTGGTTAAGATTGGTTGCCAAGTGGGAAAGAAAATTAAGTTTTTCAATCTTTCTGCTGGGATGAGTACCCCACACAGCTCAGATTGGCCTTTACAGGTAGTGTCAAAGCAGCCTGCCTCATAAATTATTTTATTTAAGCAAAGGAGATGCAAAACATGTTTTTGGTTGTTCTTTTGTTTGTTTAGAACTGTTCACCTTTTATATCAATCAGTGTCATTACAAAGACAGAGATGCCAACAGTCCGATTTTACGTATTTTAGTACGATTTTTTGCCGAAAATACGCGAATACGACTTTTCATGAAAAAACATGCATCCTGGAATGTGAAAAATAAGAGATTCAGCTTGGGCGAGTAAACCTAATTATCTCAAGTCCTATCTTTTGTCAAAATAGTTTCAGTATCGTAGAACTGGAATATTTGAAAACCAAGTCCGATGTGGTCAGTAAGTTCACTTTTGCCGGTCGCGATCGTGATATTATATTCGTTCAGCTTTTCCCCATCCGGAGAGTACGTTTCACTTTCACGCGAATAGGCAGCTTTGGTGGCAGGCGGAAGCATATGTGACACCGAGGCTTGATCGGGAAAATCAAAATCTACTTTCGCTTTCGTTACCACCGAGAAGTTTGCCAGCAGTTGTCTGATAACACAACATTTGTGACATGCAGGTTGTGCAGTATAAACGCAATGTCGCCGTGCAAATAAAAGGTAATAAATACTCGGACTTGTCGCTGTGCTGTCACTTGTGGAAAAAAAAAAGGAAAGAAAATACAAGCGTCGTCTGATTTTTAGATTGTCTGGCTCGCCATCGTGACCAGTCACTGAACCTACGCGCATTCGCATCATAAATAAATGCGGCATCGTGTGAGTAAAGACCGTCTTTGGTGGGAGTAACGGCGTTGCGAAGTATGATTACGGAATAGGGGAGGAAATTATTGATTTTTGGGGGGTATAAGATACTAAGGGGGGGGGGGGGAATTAAGGCAACACCAGAGGAAAAAAACTTGGAAGCACATTTCAGAATTTTGATTAGAGCTTTCTGCAAAGCGCGCGTTGGTGCAGGCCTTGTGCGGAATCGGGACCCCTCATACTTTGCAAGTCTGTGTTATTGAAATAAAGTGTTCACGTTTCATTGGATGGGTGATAGTAAATTATACCTGCAGTGTATGTTGTAGCTTTCTGTTCAAGACTGGCAGATTTTCAGTGTCACTGCATCTTGCCCTACCACAGTTGTTACAACTCTCACAGTGCATGGGTCTACTTGAGCCATTCAAGTTATTGCTTTTCTCTGAGTTTAGCAATAATTTGAGTCTGTCAGTTCATGAAATGAATCATGACACACAGATTGGTTTTTGATAGTAGAAATTCTTGTTCTAGGCCCTTCCGAACTCTCAAAGCAGGATTTATTTTTTATATAATAATGAAAGGAAAATATTATATAATAGACTGAAATACTTAAGTCAAACAAGACCCCAGTACGACATTGAACACTGACATGTTGTTGACTGGATACATACATATTGTATGCGTGTGTGCTCCCTTTTTCGAGCTGGTGAGCTAGTTTTTTTTTTTCAGGAAATATTGCTGGACTACCTGAACATTTTACTATTACCGATTGGTCGGTTGGTCGTGGGGAATACACATTTTCATATTTCCCAATACTCATTTCGGTTTTCTGTGGTTGGCATCTCTGCAAAGAGGGAACCAACCAATAAAATCTCTCAAAGAAGCATCTAACATGTACATAGGTTTGCTAAGATGGGGATCTGCTTTTTACTTTTTGATAAGTTTTACGGTGCTTGCAACACAAATAGGTCATGTTAGTGCCATAGATCAGAGGTGTTTCTAGTGAAAAACGTTCAATGAATAGAATGAGGAGAGATTAGGCGGATAGATGTATGATAGAAAAGAAGGAGCAAACCACCCCCGAGCACCCACCAACCACCCACACTTTATTACTTTTTGATGGCTTGTGTGCTGTTGCCTTGTAATATGCAAAGACTTCCATCCATAATAATAAAAAAGTTGCAAAGAAATTTTTAGGGTTGACCTAGTGTGGTGAAAAGTATTGAAACATATGTGATGCTATGTTTTGAATTATTCTTTGTTATATCAGTTGCTTCAAAATTGTGTGTCTGTATTTCATAGATAAGCCTTAAATTCTGGTCTGTTATTTGACCGTCTGGTTAATGACTTAACAAGTACAGCTTGTGCAGTACCTTTGACAGTTCCTACTTCTTTTCCTTCTGATCTTTGTTATCATGCACAGGTAGATGCTTCTGGCATCTGTGAAGTAATGGTTAGATTTTTCGCAGTTGCACACACAAGACATGATTTTGATTCCCCAATGGGGAAATCTTATTTTATCGAGTATTTCTGGCTTGCTGCTGGGATGCTATAATTAATCCCGTTCAAAATAGGGTAGCCTGAATTATCAAGGTAGAACAAGCCCGCCTCGGAAATAACCTAAATTGTGCCAATGAGGATGTGAAGCATTTATAGTCTGTCCAATTGATGTTCTTGTGGTGTCCTCCTTCCATTTCTATTCACTTCAGTATTGAAGAGGTATTTTGTACCTTGGGTTCGATCCTATTTTCTTTGAATGCCGTTGCTATCAAGCAAGAGGGCTTTTTAGTTGGTGATTAGCAGGTGATCTTGTGTGAATTGCTCCTTTCCTATCAAACATCTATCATCCTTATCTCTCTTTTTTTGTGTTGTTACTCTATTGTAAGACATTATCTTCAGCACTTATGACCTAATTGTGTTGCAAGTTACGTAAAACTCATATTAAAACAAAACTTCAGTGTTTGTGTTCTCCTTGCATGATCTTGAAAACAATATAGCTGTTATTCTGCAGACTTTCAGCATAATAACTCCATTATTTTAGTTGCAACACCTCTAATCTTCAGCCCTTGTTTGATTTAATTGTGTTGCAAGTGCCGTAATACTCTTAACAGAATTGGTCTCTTCTGTTTTCGTAGTCTGGAAAAACAAGTACGGGACACTGTTCAGAGAGCATTCTGGGATGCATTTGAAGACAAACTGAGCAGAGACCCACCTGACCTCAGCATGGCTTACGGCATGTTGGAGGAACTAAAAGAGGTATTACATTTCTGTCTTTCAACATTCTCAGTTTCGATTCAGGAAAAACTTGTTTACCTGCTTGAATTATGATTTTTTTTTAAAGCTGTTTTTGTGCACTGTATTCCTAGGTCTCATACTATATTTGTTACTGTGCATAAGCGCAAATCGAACGCTTAGTGTGGGACTCTGCCATACGCCATTTAGAAAAATGACGTGTGACAGAATAATAAACTGAGCAGTTGAAATGTACACTTATTCTAACAAATGGCTGTGGGCTCACACAATCATAAGCACACTGATGAGCATGGACATGTGCATGGGCACACTCCACGCACACGCACACACACACTCACTCACACACACACACACACTCATTCACACACACACACATACACACACACACACACACTGCACACACACACAAACACACACACACCCACACACACACAGGGATAGGGATTTTTAGTCTATGAACACCACGAAAGGCAAGTGAGGTATTTGAGCTCTTGTTATGTCCATATACATCAGTCCACAAATTTAAGGAAATCAATTGTGATGTGATACCGGTAGGCTACAATATTTCCCCTCCGCAGGTTAAAGTGGTGAAGAGTTAGAGGGTTTCATGGTACCTGTTGCAGATTTTGTTTGGTGTTTTTATTTGCTAATGTTTCACTATTTCCCCTTGTCTTAGTACGCAAGTCATTGTGTCAAATGTTGAATATTTCTCAGATTTATGCTGCTATTTTTCTTTCAGAGCTTGATCGCTATTCTGCTTCCTCAACACCAACGTTTGAAGGATCAGATCAATGAAGTGCTTGACCTCTCTCTTATTAAACAACAGATGGAAAACGAGGCATTTGACTTTGACTTCTATGGCAGGTATGGTAAAAAGTACTGCTTTCCAGTGCATAGGAGAAACAGTGTTAATTTTGCATGTCTAACAGCCTTTTGTCATCCATTCGCTTTATGCCAAATATATTTCCGCAGTTGTCCTTGATTTTCTCAATTGTTTCTCTGAAAGAACTGAGGGTGGATTATGGTTCGGCGTAAGTAAAGTTTACATGTACATAAGTATAAATAATATGGATGTACTTTTGCATTACCCGAACAATTGTCTACCATCATAAGACGTTAATGCTTCAACAAATTTCTAAGATAAGGAAAAGGTATCTTGGCCAAGGTCAGTAAAAAACTTGAGCTCAGGAATGTTTTTCAACATTCTCAAAATTATGATTAGAGCCATTATCTTTCCACAGTGACAATATGGAATGGTCTACACCAGTGTTTGTCTACTTTTTCATAGTTGGCTTTCCTTTTGCAACCTTTAAAGAGGCAAAAAGTTTCATGCTACCCACCTACGTGTATTTCCAATCAGGACAATAAAGTAGCACTGATGATCTCTCACCATTCCCTAAAATTACCAAACTGCTCAGTAGTGGGCAGTATAGCCCATGTTGACAAGCACTGGTCTACACCTAACATTCTGTTGCATATGATCCCAGTTTGTTTAGGACACTGCTTCTCTTTGGAAAGGAAACAGTTTCTTCTATAAAACTGCTCCCTCTCAGATGCTGATTTTCAATTACAAAACTTGGCAAAGATAGCATATTTTCCAATATGAAACTTAAGTTTGTCATTTGTAAAGCCCAATGACCATATGCATCTCGTGGACAATATACTGAACACCCTGTTAAATAAAACTTGTCAAAATATGAATTTTCTTCATTTTTGCCTTAATCACACATGCAGCTTGAGTGGTAAACTTCACTAGACTATGATGTCGTCACCAAATACATTGAAAATGACTTTGGCACCTGTGCTATGTTCATGATGATTATTCAGGATAAGCAACGTAGCATAGGAGGTTCAAATTTCCTTGTGAAAGAATCTATGAGAGTGTGTTATGTATTCTGTATTTGCTGCAAGACACCAACTTGCACAGTCTTTGTTTGGGGGGGATCAGTACAAAGTGAGCTAACATTCACTCGTTGTTATCTGACTTCAGAGAAGAAAAAATGTGTTCCAGTATGTCAACTTTGTTGAAGTGACTTTTGTGTTTAAAAAAAAGTGCTTTGGCAAGTTGTTTTATGCAGACTGTAAGCTCAGATTGTCCTTTAATTATTGATGTGGCTCCCTGTTACTGTAACAAGGGATATTGTGCCCTGCTTCGCTGGATGACAGCACAGTCTGGTGATGCTTTTTGCTACTTTGAAACAACATTTGATGTCCTCAGGTATGTGACAGACACCATGGCAAAGCTTTGCGCCCCAGCCAGAGATGAAAAAATTGCGGAAATCAAGGGCATGAAGGAGGTCACACCAAAATTCAGGTTTGTGTATGAGTCATGTTTTCACTTGAATAATGAACTAGTGTAGAAACTCAAAATGAGTCATTTGTCATGATTAGCTGTCATGAAGACTAGCGATGACAATCATAGTTCTGCCCGTCTCTGTTGGCGGTCTTTACACTAGGCTCACTCTTTACTCTTGTCCCAAACCTTTACTTCTAGCTGTTCAATCTTCTCCCTTCTGGCTTTCATTTCACTTTGTTGTCATTTACTTTCTCAGTTTTGGCCAGATCTTCAAATTTTTGCTGTCGTGACCTGTAAATTTAACTTTGTTGCTCCTTGACAGTTGTTTGAAGCTTTTTTTTTTTTTTAGTTTGTCATACATTTTGTTTCTTCTGCTTTTTTGTAGGGTGGATCCTTGGTGCTGTTTAACCCTTCTTCTTTTTTTCCTATGTTGTTATTGTCTTTTTTATAGATCTAACTCAACACTAACTGCACGGGGGCTCTCGTGGCCTAGAGGTTAAGGTGTTGGCCTCTCATTCAAAGGTCCCGGGTTCGAATCCGGGTAGCGACCAAAAAATTTTCTTCTCTAAAATTGTCTCCTTTCCTGCTCTCTAGCAGTGTTCTGTCGTCTGCTTTCATTTCCACTTTCTGCCCCCACCCCCTCACCTCCTTTGCCCCCTCCTCTGGGCTCCTGACTCTTTCTGCAGCCTTTCTACTGTTACTCCTTGGTTCCTCCTTACTGCTGTCTTTCTGCCACACCCCTGATCTTCTGGTAGGAAAGATCTGCACCTAGCCTTCTCGGACAAGGGCGAAAAATCTTGGAGGGCCTGTGTGCAAGTTGCGCACGTTAAAGATCCCTTGGTGGTCTAAAATTGATAAGAGTAGGCCTCGGCCGCCACCCGGGCAAAAATTCAAAATTTCCTACCAACTGAAAATATTAGGTGTGTCCCGCGCGCTCATATGACCTTATGCAGTTGCGAGCGCCGTAAAAACACTTTACCAAAAAAAAAAAAACTAACTGCACTTCCAGCAAATGGAACATGCAAATAAAAAAAAAAGAGATAGAACAACTAACAGGGGAATCTTAATGACTGAGCAACTTAACAGTGGTCTAGATTGCAGGCAAAGTTACAGAAAATTTTGTATTGGGTTCTTTTGTAGGTATATTTATGTTTCTGGGGTGAACTAGCGCCTAAATTTTGAGAGAGTTTGATGTGGTTAATTTTGCTTAATGGGGCAATTTGGCTCACTGATGTTTGGTGCTCATTAAAATCTTCCTCTCTTAACACCCACGAGACTTGGGGTGAGAATACTCACAAAGCCCAACTGTTTCCCTTGGACCGTGGATGAGTATACTAGCAAGCGAAATTACTTAGATACAAACAAAGACCTGTTGATGTTTACCCTAACATGTTTTCGTGAACCCTTTGATTAGTTTCCTTTAGATATTTTGCTTCCAATTTTTGGCAATTAAATGTGGAAAACAATTGAATGTGTTTAGTAAAGTTATTTCTCTGAACCTGAGGTGCTGACGAAATTTGTATGGACACAGACTGTTTTGACTTGGACAAAAAAAATTACCTTGGTTATTTGGTTTGAGAGTCTTGAAATCGAGAAGAAAGTGATGAAAAATAGATCTGGAACCAGTCAACAGTGATTGAGGAGCAATTTACTCAATAAGTTGATAAAAATGTTAGTTATTTATCCGTGTTAGGAACTGACTTTTGACAAAAAATTTATTATGACATAATTGAATACACCTAAATGACTCAAACCAAAATGTTCTTTCAATGAAATTGTGTTTTTGTGTTTTAGTATAGGGGAACATATTCTTAACAGTTAGGTGAAGTTCCATGTCTACAACTTTTCAAGGTTTACTAGGACTAGGAGCTAAGTTATTCATATTAGAATAATCCATTTCTCGCATAATCAGATAGCGGGCGGCAGCTCCAGGGAACTGAAAGTTGATTGTGAAGCCGGTCTCATAGGTGTTAAGGTACTTAATTTCCGACATTTTTTGTGGTTATGCCCAACAGAAAATTTTCAGTGTTTGAGTTTTAGGCGCTTTGGCTGCACATAGTATTTCCGCCTGGTGATGTTCAAGTTGGTGGAAAGAGAAAATGGCTATTGATATACTGTTTTATGAAAGGAAACAGAGAAGCTACTGTCAACAATATTTTAGCCTCAGAATCATTAATATTAATACCCTAAAAGTGCTCCGGATTTAGGGGCTCTCTTCTCGTTTTGTTCTATATAAGTTGAAAGCTGAAGACTGTACTGTCTAATACCATCAAAGTATTAGACAAATTTTGAAGTTGACCTTGTGAGCAGTGACTGAATTTTTATTGTTTCATGTCCTCAGGGCAATTTTGGAAATGCTGGAGCTAATGCGAAAAGACATGGCCAACTTTACTATCAGGCAGATCCGTCCATACATCCAGCAAAACTCTATTGAGTATGAAAGAAAGAAATTCTCTGACTATTTTGATGCTCAGAAAGGTGAGGAATTTGCTTAGGATAACTATTTTACTGCAACAATCAGTTGAACCTATTCTTACAGTCACCTGTATAAGGCCTGTACAAACGTTCACTATCCATTTCCTCCCTTGTACATTTTTGACATTGTAATGACACTGTGTGAGGCAGCCACCTGTCCAATATGGCCACTTTTCTCCTCAACTATGAGTAGCCATCACAGACAGTTTTGACTATAGTTATATATGCATGAGTTTGATTTTAATTTATCTCTACTTGTGATGATGTCAAAAGTTGCTAAATCTTGTAGCCTTCAATATTGTGTTTCTAGCTGACTGTAGACTTGAATTTCTGGCTATGCTGTCATTATTGAAGGGCCTAGATCCACCTGTTGTAAAGGAATGTCAGGGCTTCGTATAGAAACACCATCGGCACACTGCACCATTTTTTTTAGCCCAGAAATAAACACAGAACAGCAATTTTTTCATCATTTTTGTCAATCCATCTAGGACCCACATGCCATTGTTTTGTTCTATTTAGTGTTATAATCAACTGAAAGAGTGACAACATAGGTGTCTTTTTTTTTTTTTAAGTGCTGAAAATGGTGTAAATTTTGCACATTCATATACAACCACACCTCTCCAAGAAGGAATTCACAAGAGAGCCAGAGGTTATGGAAGTAACGGTAATATAAGGACTTCACTCTACCTATCTGTTTTTCAATTGAAACGTAGTGTAAGTTTATCCCCCCCCTCCCCCCCACACACACACACTAACCCCCCCCCCCTCCCCTCCGACCCCCCCCCAAGGGAAAAAAAACTGTGTTTTCCTATCCTTTATCGCTAGGGCAGCCTGCACCTCATTGAAGCCGTTTGAAGAGTATTGTTGTGAAACATTTGCCATGTATCTTTTTGACAGCTCTTGGAATCAATGCCCTGCAATACACTGAAGTGTGGCTACAAAGGAATTACCAGAAAATGCTGCAGAATGCTTCTGACCCGCAAATGTCCAGTGGAAGCCAAGATAACCCCATGCCAACTCCAGCCAATGTATTGACACAGGCCTATGTGGAGATTTTGAATTGGTCAGACCCTATGAACTTCCCTGAGGTTTGTTAGTGTGCTCTCAATTTTTATGACTTTTAACACTAACAGTGAGTCTTAGCCCAAATATTTCAAGTAGGTGAAGTCAGTGACTGTCAAGTCTACTACCACAAGTAGATAGATATATATATAGGTTAGCTCAATGGCAACTCTTGAAAGGGTCATTGCTATAGGGACTTTGGATATTGACATATTTCTCTTTTAATCAATCCTGGGTACTTTTCATGATGGCAGTGATTTATTTTCCTTCCATTATACCACAACAGTTACTTTCCTTGATTTTCCTTTGTACTTCTGTATTTTCTTGTCACCACGGTTTACTGGAATTACTGATGTGTGCTCGACTGCTCTTCTGTTTTCTAGAAATCTGGCTCAGTGGGTTACTGAATGTTAGGGTTATTTTTCTCTTTTCCCTGGTTGATTGTAGAGTGTTAAGCCCCAGAGATTCAAATTGTATATGTTTGTTGATGATTTATACAGAGTTGCATATTGTTAAATGTTGTTTTTAATACGCAGTATTTTCTATTCTGATTTGTTAAAGGATAAGTAGGCATGCTGGCATGATCTGCTCCTTGTGTTTATTTTTTCAGTGCTATTTTTGTATTACTCTACATTGTTGGGTGTAAAATGTATGAGTGGATATAGCACAGTTAGATTTAAGTGGCAAAAAATTGATATAAATTATACATTTATCAGATAAAACACACCAGCTTTTTCATAGGAAGCATAATTTTGTTCCTCCAGCTAAGTTCGCAAGAACCTCAGTGAAATGTTGCTTCTTGTGGCCCATGGTCTTGACACTCATTGTTTTGTTGCCTTTTCAATCTACCTTGGCCTGGCACGTCAAAAACACATTGATGCTTTATCCGTGTTCCCTGTTGAGGCAAGGTCACGATGATTTCCTGGCCCATAGAGCTTGTTCTCTTTGTCGACCCCAACTATTTTTGGGTCTTAAACTTTTGACACTTTAAAGCCTTCCTTTTTGGGTTACACATTAAAATATGGAAATATGCCATTCCCAAGTTGTGATTCTCTTTAATTTGACTTTTGTCTGAAATTTCCTCTTGTTGGTTTTAAGAGTTTAAAATGTTGCAATGAAAGAAAGAGACAGAGATAAAGACAAAGACAGAGGAGACTCATTATGTCTAGAAGATTTATGGTATAATGCAATAATTGATGAATCCGTGTCTAAACAATTTATTTCTGATCCTATCCAATCTTGTCTCTTATTTAACTGATCTAATCTGATTTAATCTTTTTCCCTGTGTTTTCCAGACGTTGATGATGGACCAGTTTCGTTTCATGGGTATGAGGGACAAGCTACAGATGCTGGGCCTGATCTCATCCGTACAGCTGATTACGTATAGCGTAGTGGGACCTTCCGTGGAGGGAGTGGAGCAGCTGAAGAAACAACTGAAGGAGCATGTTGAGATTTTGCTCACGGACAGAGGAGAAAAGTACGGAGATGCTAAAGAACTCACATTGTTTAAGGCTGATTTCTCCCCCTTTTTTTTCTTCGTTGTCTTGTGGGTTTAGAAGTGTCACTTTAAAGGTCTAAAGGCAAGGTCTACGAGTATGTTTTGACTATGGAAAGATTGTCAATCTACTTTGCGGGCACAAAAAAAAACTATTGTTAACTGATTCCGTCCATGGTTTTTTCAGGCTCTGGACAGAATTATTTTTCCCTGCACAGTTTTAGACCTGGGGTGCATCTATTTAATGCATTACTGTGAAGCTCTAAGTTACTCTAATAGGTAATGTCATATACCAAACTGATGGGAATAAATAGAAGAATCTGTTTATGTCAATAACAATGACCTATAATCTGTTTGTATTGCATTTTCCTTCAGACAAAAACGAAATTGAAAAAAAAATTGCGCAACAGCTCTTCGAAAATTTCGACTTACTGCATTTTCTCAACTCTACAAGTCCTTATAATCCATAGGAATCAACTCAACATTGTAGTGATATCACCCTAGCACTCATTTATGCAAGAATTTCACAAATATAGTTGAATATCTTTCTTTGAGATTTATTATACCAGGCTCCGTGTTGTTTACCCTTAGATCTAGCATGCATCGCAACACCAAAGCAACTATTTTTGCAAGAATTTCGCGGAGTTTCGATCGATATTGGCGCTCAGAGATTGAGATCAGGTTTGTTGACAAGTTCTACTTCCTTTCGACAACTTAAAAAGTAGGAACTATGTTAAAAAGTGCACTTTTGTTTCGGATTTCGTTGAGCCGCTCACAGCGGCCGAATGGAGGCAGCGGAAAAACTCAGAGCCACTGTCACGGCCGAATGGACGGAATCAATTTAAGACTGATCAGATCTTTCCTGTTAATTGATGAAATATAAACTTTAAATTTTTTGGAATTATGTCCATTTTTCTCTGACTATCAATTGTTTGTGTTTTTTTCATGTGTGCGAAGACTGTATTATGTAACCTCCTCATTTGTAGTCCTTGTCTGAGAAGATAAGGAACTAGATCCTACTCTCTCAAGGACTCCAGGTAGAGAAAGTTGTGATCATGTTTGCACCAACTTGAAATTGAATCCAGAGGGTTTGAGTGAGTAAATTTTACAATTTTAGACAATCTAGTAGTAGAAACAGGGTCCCCACCAGGTCGGGAAGTCGGGAATTTTGAGATAGGTCGGGAAAAAGTCGGGAATTTTGTGATTGGTCGGTAAGTCGGGAAAGGATAGGGCCTGTGTAATATTAGTAGTGTAGCTATCTAGACAGTATGGTTGATGAATCATGAAGAGGAAACGTAACTGAACCGCTATGGCGGAAGTGTATGTGTGACACCGAGGCTCGGTCGGGAAGAATCAAGACCTGCTTTCGCTTTCGTTACCACCCAGAAATTTTCCGGTAATAGTCTGATGGATAACGCAACATTTGTAACCTGTAGGTCTTGCATTACAAACGCTGTGTGGCCTTGAAAATAAATCAATATTAAAAGTTTGTCCTCTGCTGTCACTTGTGAAAAAAAAAGAAAAAAAGGTTGTACAAGCTTCTTGTCAGGTATGCCCTCGTGACCGGTCAATGAACCTGTGAGTACCGGCGGTCTGAGCGCTGTGAAGTATAGGACTTTGGAATGGGTTGGGGGGGGGGGGGGGGGTTATAAGATACACTCAGGGAAGGGGATTGGGGGGGGTGGGCTAAAGACTACGTTAGAGGTCAAAAACTGAACTTGGAGGAAGCAAATTTTTAGTATTTAGAATTTTGATAACTACTAGATCTAGATCTATAAGAGCTTTCGGCAAAGCGCGTGTTGGTGCAGGCCTCGTGTGATATCGGGGTCCGTCATGCCTTGATTGTTATTAATTGAACTAAAGTGTTCATTGGATGGGGTGACTAATTTTTATCTAGGTCTATATTTTAGCTTTCTGTTCAAGATTGGCAGAATTTCAGTATCACTACATCTTGCCCTCCCTCAGTTCTTACACCTCTCACACTGAATAGGTCTACTTCAACCATTCAAGTTATTACTAATATTACTCTACTTTGAGTTTGAACAATAGTGTTCGTCTTCACGTTTATTATATGAATCATGACACCCAGACTGGTTATTGACAGTCGATATTCTGGTTCTAGGTTTTTTCTCAGGCTCAAAACAGAATTCCTTTTTTATATAGGGCCTATAGTTTATGTAGGCTAATATGATGAGGGGAAAATATAAATACAAGTAAGTAAGAACAGACTGAAATACCAAAGTCACTCAAGATCCCAGTGCCACAGTGACATGTTGACTGGATATAATGTACCTACATGTGTGTGTGTGTGTATTCACAAACATATACATATTATATTGTATTATGTATAAATGGAGCATGCGCTGTCATTGTTATGTAACATGCCCCTGGAAAATGGAGCCCCCCCCCGGAAAATTGAGAAGCTGGGTAGCAGTCACCCAGTGTTATAATCATCTATTGTTTGAATAAGACTACTACAAAATGTACATTTGCATTCATTTAAAGACATTTTGACTTTTTATCATTGATAGATGGCCTTTTTCGGGGATCATTCTTGGCGCGCAGCAGCCTGATTTTTCCCTCAAATTGGGGTCTTGAAAAAAATTTGGGGGTCTTGGAAAAAAAATTCCAGGATTTGGTGGGGACCCTGTAGAAACATAGCCTCAGAGCATCTGCTGCCCGGCAAATCCTAGAATCTCTGCTCAGCTACTTCATAGCTGTAGTGGAGGAGAGGGGAAAAAATATAGGTAGCATAAGCTTATTCCTTTGCTGACATTGGTATGCATTAGCCCTTGGATTGCAGAAAACAGTTTAGAGCAGCCAGGGCAGAACATTGGGGGAGTGCACCTCTTTGCAGAATCAAAGTGCTGCTCAGAGGGTTGAAATGTATACAGTTGGGGACAGATAACACAACACTGAAAACTTGAAATCATGGATAGCTTGTACAATTTGCCATTCCCAGACCGATTAATATCTGTTTAATTTTTCGTTATTGTTTTGTCTGAATTGTGGATGTACCAAACATAGTTGTCAATCACAGACGTGTTTGGGTTACCTGAGACCGACTGTATATAGAAATTTTCTTCATGCTGGGTCCCAGGTGCCCACAGGAAATGTTTCTGGATAGTGGTGGCAGGAATGGTCTTTGTTCTTTGATTTTTCCCACATCTATTTGAGTTTCTTCTGTGCTTGATTGGGAGGGGGGGGGGAATATCTTTGATGTATGTGACTGTTAGCTCCTTGTAGTGCAGTTAGTTAAGTTTTAGCAGAGGTTTTACGGCGCTCGCAACTGCATAAGGTCATATGAGCGCCAGAAGATTAGAGGTGTTACAAGAGAGTAACAAACATAAAAAGAAGAAGTAGTGGGATTAGGGAATAAATGTTGATTGTTGAGAAAGTTCATCATTTTCCTAGAACATGGAGGCGCCCTTAAGTACATCTCAGTATTCTTTACTCTTGGTGACATTGTGCATTATAGCTGACTTTGGGCTTCTTTTCGTTTTTTCTTCCCTGTTTTTAGCTGAACGGAAGTCCTCGGACATCCCACATCTTCCTCCTCAGCAGAGTGCATTGTTCCGTTTTTTGTCATGTAAAAGATGTATGAAGGTAGAGACTGTTTGCTTTCCCTTTGTGAACCCGTGGGGTTGGGCATTGGAGTTCAAAATATCGACTGTAGATTGATCCCACTGTGCGATGTGTGTGAGGGATTTCGGGTAAAAATTCAGAGAGTTTGATTGCAAATGTTTAACACCCCCTGTGATACTATTTAGATCATTTAGGAGGCAGACTGCTTTGACGTTGTTTATCAGGGTCAACCTGGGTTGAGTGTGATACTGTGTGCCAGCTGAAAGATATAGGCTACTCAATAAACGAGAGTTTGCCATGATGCATGCTGTAGCAAAGAGTCTTAGGCTGGTCCCAGAGTGGCTCTGTAGGTCTGACCTGTAGCTGGCCTGGCGCACGCCATGTGCGTGTCAGCACAGCTGTACTGTGGGTTGGAACCTGTGTCTCAGGGAGCACGAGGCACACTCACTGCGTCTCGGCACAGCCGCACTGTGTGTTAACGTGTGTAGGTGTGCAACTGATGGGTCTGCCTTGCTATATTTAGGTACTGTGTAATCCAAGACCAATTGTACCAAGACGAGAAAAATGTCATGTGCCAAGTGCAGCCCCCACCACCCCCACACACACACATACACACTCACAAACACACTTGCAGGTGCGCGCGGCGATAGTTTACATTTGTTACAATGCAAGTCTAGATCTAGAATCTAGAGAAGCACACCTAGATCTTGGCCTTGGCCTACGACAACAGTCGAAATTGGTCAACCTCTCGATTCAAAGTTTCAAAGTATGATAAAGTGCATTTCTGGGTGATTTTATGGCCAAGCGTTGATGCTAGCATCAATATTTAATAGTAAAGCACCTAATAGTACTTACTTCTTGTTGATTTTGATGATCTGTGAAGAGTTTCAGTCGAAAATAAACACAAAGCGAGGCGACACATGTCCGCCATTTTTACAACACTGTTGAATAGCACGTCTGGCGCATCGCACAGCTCAGCTGACAAAAAACAGACGACACAACGACGCTGCTTAAGCACACGATAATGTATACATTCATTTGCAAGGTGCGAGCCAGGCGAGCTACAGGTCAGACCTACAGAGCCACTCTGGGACCAGCCTTACTGTTACACCATAGATGCCACTGGCAAAGTATTTGTAAAATCCAAAACAAAAGGAAGAGAAAAAGTGAACTAGGATTTATAATGTTGATTTTTAAAAAATATATATCTTTTTTTTCTGTGTGTTTGTATAGCCTCTGAAACCCAGCACTTAGTTATGATTTTCATGCCAATTGGTTTCTCCTAAGTTCACAAACATTTGTGAATGATCACTAAAGTTTTGTGTATTCTTTCTTTGGCGTTTGTGGTCTCGTGGTTAGGCTCTTGGCCTCCCAACTGTAAGGCCATGAGTTAGAATCTTGCTTGTCAGGGGCCTGGTGTTGTGTCCTTGGGAAAGGCACTTTACAGTAACTTTCCTCACTTCGCCTGGTTGAGAATGGATACCCCCCCTCTTATAGGCAGCAAAAGATTTTGTCATTTTGTTTGTGTTGTGCTCACACTATATGCTTCCCAGGAAGCTGAGAATGTTAGTGAGTGTTCTATGGTCTGCGGGGGTAGTGTAAACGCACATACAGCCTGTGCCTGATGAGGATATGAGTGATACAAATGTTATGTAATATTTAATATAATTTATATTATTCTTCTGATAATTCTCTCTTCCAGGGGCATCGGTGATATCTTGGACTCTGTGTCAGAGCAGGTGGTCAAAGATGTTGGCGAGAGTCTGGCCAGTCGCCAGCTGCCCCCGCTGAGCGAGGACAAGAAGGAAGGGCTTAAAGGCCAGATTGCCAATTTGGGCTCCAGGGAGAACAAAGTGCGACAGATCATGAGTAAGTGTCCTCTTTGTGGAGGAATTGATTCTGAATTTTGCCTTGACAACAGCCCTGAGGGCCTACCTTTTTCAATTCTATAACCACCAAGGGATATTTAAAATAAATGTGCAAAACCTTCACACAGGACCTCCAAAATTTTTCTACCTTATCTGTGAAGACAGGGTGTTCAATGTTATCTACCATAGGATCAGGGGGTAAAGAAAACAGGAGAAAAGATTGTATTTCTGGTACTCTGGACAGCTGGGTTGATAGATGAACACCATACTTGTTGATCTACTGACCCCCCACCCGAAATTTAGGGGTTGCTTTTAAAGGCATCATTTCAAATGGGGAAGCCAGTGTGCAGGTAGAACATGAGGAATCCCCATTTTAAAATGTGTTAAAACTTTATCAAGGCTCCTTACCCAGTTGAGATGTTTACAGCACTCTTTTGTGTATTTTTCTCTTTTTTGCGTGTTTCAGATTTGTCTATTGTCCTTTCAGTTCCTGCAGAATGTGTCTGCTGTCGTGACTATTAAGATACTGATTTGCCATAAATTAACATGAACCTACTCACCAAGCCAGTCGTAGTAAAGATGGTTACCCCTTTCAGATTCCCAATATATCGTTATGGAATCAAAAAAGTCAACTCGATCTAAAACATTCTCAAAAGTAAAAGAAGAATTGCTCTTATTGTTTAAAAAAATTTAGTTTTCTTCACTTGTCCCAAAAACTTTTTCTACATTAGAGGGAGGGGGAGGACATGTTGAAAAGCTGTAGTTTTCCTTTACTCACTGACCAGTTTGTCATTTTTGTCATTCTGTCTGTTCTTTCAGTGAATCGTCTCTTGGAGTTCATACAAGAAGGCATATCTGGCAAAAGTTTGAATAATCTACGAGTGCCAAAGGGTTGCACAGCGGTACAGCAAGAGCTGGCACAGGTTCTGGGGAACTTCCTGCGTCTGACCTCACACAATAGGTCCGTGTTTGGTGCTCAGTACACTCAAATCATTGAGCTGTCAGTGAACCGCAGCAGTGATGTGGCTGAGGCATCAGGAGGTCAAAGCTGCTGAGGGCTAGAGGTGGAAAACGGAATTGTATTCTCTTCCATCAGGTCTGAGTCTTTGCGATAGATGGTTTATTCAGAAATGCCATCCCTTCCAAAGACCATACTTCTCTTACCGCAATGCTGGCTATTATTTTAACAAACAAAAATAAGATTTCTGTTTGTGAAAAAATTGGTTGTGGCAGCTTTCTGCCCGATGTCTAGTGGCAAAATGTGTACCGTGAAAGGCAGCTGTTTGTATTTGTGAGAATGCAGTTTGTGGAGAGTGCCCAGCAAAAGACAGAGATTCTGTTATACGTACTGGTCAAATAAACTGTAACTGCAGCAGAAATCCGAATGTCATGGTTTTTTGTAATATTAGAGATGGTTAACTTGCCAAGAGGATAGAGAATGATGTTACTGCTACCACTTGTGATAAGCATAATTTTTAGTGAGCGGAGGGCGAGAGGTAACTATATGTCCACATTCCTTATTTTGAGAAAAATGGATTTTTAAGGCCAGGTGTATATGGCTACTTCTGGACGTAGATATCCGCTATGTCGTGAATTGTAATCATGGCAAAACTACTGGGGGTATTGGTTCAGTATTTACAGAAATGATGCAGTATCATTTGAAGGCTTCCATTATGCTATTCCTGGCATTTCAGCCAAAACGGACATGGTCGCTTCTGGCTCTCAGCCCACACTTTGTTTATTTGATCATGGTGAAAATGTTTCTATATAAGGTCCAAGACCTGTCTCATTATTACTGAAGTCCTCTGTGAAATAGAGGCAAGTGAGTCACGGGCTGAGCTGTAAAGGAGTTAAAATTAGAAAAACAACTAGTCCATTGAATATTTTTAAATTGTGATGTGGCTATTTACTTTTACATGACACTTACATGCAAGTCCGGTACCATACTTGTAGTGTGTCAGTGTCAAAGGAATAATGTTGTCAATGTTTCTTAGAAATTGTGAGTGGAATGTGCTTGATGTAGATCTTATGTGTTTACTAATTGTGGGGCTTTGACTGGGTTGTCCATATTAGATAGGAAAGGAAAAGAAAGACAAGAAGATTATGTGCAAGTGATGAAGAAGGGGTACACTAAAAGAGAAAATCATTGTGTGGAGAGAGAGAGAGAGAGAGAGAGAGAGAGAGAGAGAGGTTTACAAAAGAGAAGTATTCGTTTGTGAAGATGAACTTTTTTTTCATTGGCTTCAAATTGTTGAGACTTGTTTGAGTTCAAAGCCTTAACCTTCTTGGTGAGTAAAACTAATCTCGTCATGAAGTATTTTCCCTGATTTCTCTGGGGAAAGAGATGATATTCAAGGGGCAAAAGATAATTTGCTGTATGGAGCCAAGTTTCCATGTCCTGTTAAAATAGACACATCTCTGGGACATGGTTGTTTTAAAGGTCGATCTTATTCCTGAAACCCTATATAGGTGCCATATGCCATGTATTTTGAGAGCACTTTGTGGCTCTTGCCATTCATGTTGAACGCAGTTATGGTGCATGATTGTTCTTTCTACATGTAGTGAAAGAGGAGAGTGAAATGACCTGGCTCATTGTTATTGCCCTCCGAAAACAACTGTCAGTAATATGGTAAAACATGCGCTGGACTATGGTGAAGATAGCCCTGATTTGAATCCCCATGAGGGTGATTTTATTATTTGTAAGCAGGTGTGGGGAGTGTGCCAGGTTCCCTAACCTGTCAGCTCAGCCCCACTTGGGAGATGGGTGTTAAGTTCAGAGGTCCTGCCTCTTGTAAACTCACATTTTTATAGGGGTGCTACAACCATACCATATCATTCTACCTTGATAGTAATGTGGGCATTCACTTACTTATACTATATCTTGTTTTATGAAGTTACTTGTGTACCGGGTACCATAAAACTTCTTTGGGGAATGCTTTTTTGGCAATCCTTTTTGATGCAAACTTGGAAGAGCGATTACAAAGGAAAGCAGTTTTAGAACTTTCTAAAAAAAACATTTCCGTCCTTGTTTCACTCTTGTATGAGTTGATTTTTGGCCTGGTGTCTATAAACATAACCTGGTGTGTTCTTTGAGCACAGATATGGTGAGACTTAATGCTATGTTGTTATTGCCGGGGGAGGTGATTTTTTTAATCCTTTTTAAAAGTATAAAATCATCTCATCTTTTCTAATATAATTTGTTGGCATTGCCTGCCTAATAGTAGTGGCATGTAACATGCTGTCTCCAACCTTAGAATTTTCTTTTTTTTTCTTTTTGCCACACATGACTGATTGCACCTCAGTTGTATTCCTGTGTGTTGTTCTTTTCTGCTTTTATACACATGGACCTCCTTTTACTCTTTAGCAGTTTAAAAAACTTGGTTTGTTTTATGTTTTAGGTTATTGGCTCTGAGTCCACTGAGAAATATGCTACTGTTTAGACAATCAGCTGATGGTGTATGTCAATAGTCAATGTGAGGAATCTGCCAGAAAAGCCTGTCCGGTCAAAAAATGGGAATTATGAGGAAATCAATTTTTAAAAAGCTTGTAATGCATAGCGCCGTTTCTATTAAACTGTTAGTTTATGTTTAATTTCCTTCACACTGAAAGTCTAGAACCCAGGTGGTCTCTGGATCGGAAAAGTAAAGTAAAGTATATTTAATTTCCCATGCAGCTAAGAACATTACTAAACCAACAGTTGAACGGAAGTTTTGAATCTACAAGCTTTTAAAACTCATGTACTCGTGATATCCATTTTGTGATTTCACCTCGTTTTTCTTCCATAGTATAGTTATGTGTGTAACTACTAACATCAGGGAGAACAGATGTCGTTTTAATTTCTCATGTGTTTGGAAATGGTATTGGCAAACCTTGAATGTGTGTTGTGATTGCTAAAGGTCAGTGTTAACTTTTTATATGAAGAAATGTAGCGTGCTGTGTGAGAATGTGTGGTAAAGTTGGTGCTTTACTTTTACTTTATCGTATGTAGTGTGTATTAAACATACATGACCTGTTTTCTATGATTAGATGTTTAACATGTCGCAGATGTTTGCTGTCCGCTAGAACCCAAAATTGTGATTTGTGGTCTTGAGTTTGAAGCAATGTGACTTGAGACCTCTTGCTTGACCTTATTTATTTCTATGGAAGAGCAAAGTTCAGCTCAAATTCAGTTACGCCGCTTAGAAAAAAAAAATTTCACATCTGTCTTGAAAGATGGTAGTGACATTTTCCAAACTTATGTTTTAATGGTAACGCTCACTAACTATGTAAGTCTGAAATTAAGTCAAGTTTTATTTTTGTCCAAAAAATGGTTTGGAAATTATATTGCATCAGTGCAAATTTACAGAGTGAAAATGATTAAATATTACATTGGCATGAAATGTGTTCATCCATATTCTATGGCGCACTTGATAATCACACACTGTTTTCCTTAAAAGTATGTCATGTTAAAATTTTAGATTTACATGGACTGTGACTATACTGTTACAGTTGATGTTGATTTTCTCAAAACAGAGCTATAATACCTTCTTTTTTCCCCCACCATTCTGCTCCATATTTTTGTGAGTTCTGTGAGCTAGGCTGGTAAAGAAAACAGTTTTCAGAAATAAATATATGTAAAAATAAAAATAGCGACATATTAGGCATCTAGGATGTCATATTGTTCTTTCATTTTAGATGAGGCTTTTCATGTTTTGCATTTCAAAAATAGCATTACAATTCATACGTTTTAAAAAATTGAAATAAACTTCCTTTACACAGTGAAAGTGGTTGTAAATTAAATGTGTGATCGATATGACCAATTAATCTTTTTATTGTGGAAGAAAGATAATTTCCAGAACAGCTTCACTGGCGTATCTGGTGTAGCTGTTAGGTGATTTGCTGTTGCACACTGAGAAATATAGTTTGATTCCCATCCAGGGAGGTTTTGTTATCAATAATATCTCGACATAATCAGCTGGGGCATTGTTTCCCTCTCAGCCAGGCTTTGCCCTGATAGGCTGGGCTGACGTAGCTGACCTCCAGAATGATTAAAAGTGTGTTGATGGTTTCTTATGAAGGTAGATAAGACAGTAATTAAAGTTGCTATTTAGTGGCTCACATATTGACTTCAGTCATAAAAGCAATACACATAATTAACCAATAACATGTTTTCTCTTGAACCAAACATTGATGTTTCATTCGATGTCACGCTTAGTTATTTTAGGACGGTACAGAAAGGACCGTTTGCGTTGGGAAGAAGAAGACAGAGTTTACAAAAGAAAACATTCCTTTCTACATTATGCGCTGTTCTATTCTAAGAAGTTTAGTTAACTGTACAAAAGTTTGAATGCATTCAAGACCTTGCAAAAGCTGACTACCTGTAAAAGCATTCCGGAAGCTGACCACATGTACCAGTATACTACCGCTGTACCTTCCACAACTGGCTGTGGAGACTGGATTTCCTGCATACAAAGTCGAGAAGAATATTTCGTGAGACTGAAAATTTCAAGTCCATAGCTTTGACAGTTTTTGAGATATTATTGCACAACTTCCAAAACTTTTTGATGCCCCCTCGCGAGATATATATCAATGACATCTTTTTTTTTTTTACGAAACAACTTGATCTGAGTAAATTCCCGGGAAGTAAAATTATTGAAAAAAAGATTAGAGATGTTTGTACAAGCAGTGTGTTTTGACTTGGGTCAAAATGCAAGGAAGACTTTGTATCTCTCCGAAAGTTAATGTTGAATGCTTAAGCTAGGTTTCATTTAAATTTTAATGTTTCAAGTATGCATACCGCTGGACTTGCGCACTGCCCTTGTAGTGAATGGTTGAACTACTCTATTAAACTTTAAAACCTTTAAAAAATGTGGTTCTTACTTGATCAAAAGAATAGAAGTGAGTAAATGGAATGTATTGGCGCTCATTTAGGCTATGGTGTGATTAACTGGTGTAAATCCCCCATGGTGTGTTACTTAATTTGGGTTGTTTGGAGAGTTTTTAAAGCTCCAGAGTTGCATTTTTATTAATTTGGCTCTGACCTTTTGTAAATAGATGAATTCTCAGGTCCCAAATCTTACAGTACAGTGTTAAAAAAGGGGCATTGATATTAAAACCAAAGTGTTTTAATTACCGATGAACACGTCTTAGTCTTTGTTAACATTAACAGGCGTTTGGTCGGGTCTTGGTTTTTAAAAAAAGCTGGAAAAAACTGCCAGATAATGTTGCTTGAGGAAAAGAGATTGATTTAAGACAGAGAAATGACACAGAGATGCCGTACTTACGGGAAAGGAATTGAAAGGACCAACTGACAAGTTATACTTCTTTCATCGCATTTATTGTTCTCAAGAGACTTCTGGGAAAATCAAAGGAAAACAGGAATGATAAAGTTTTCTAAAGTAAAAGAAAAGGACAGAAAATATACAAACAAACTTTCAACAATTCTACTTAGAGATTACATTGTCTTCTTTGATTCACTTTTAATTGTTGCTTATTTGTCCATTAGTTTGCCTCATAAACTCTGTTCTAGCAAAGACAAACAGACCCTGCAAATGCATCGTGGCATTCTTTTATTTTTATCAGATTTACAAGCTAACAATTGGAAGGAATACAACTTTATTTCAGGCTTAGAGTTGTGTAATTCTGTCTTAAGGGAGAATAGAAAACGAACTCTAAAGAGAAGCGAAAACCAAGAAACAACCAAAGGCAAAATAAAATGTGTCCTTTTGACCCCAAAACCCAATCACAACAAGGAAAAAGAAATCCTAATTTGCCCACACTCGACGGCGTGAGCTTGAGCAAATTTAATCAAAACTGAGGCACACTGAAAATGGATGTCTCTAAGGTTTCATCAAGTAAGCCCAGCAGCGTCTGTGGTGTAGTGGTTAGGTACTTCGCAATCACCAGCCGCAGACGTGACTTAGATTCCCGTGTTGGGAAGACTATTTATTGTTGAACGTTGCCCTATCTCCACCAGTCTGCTGGGGCATTGTACCCCTCCCAGCCCACTTTGGTCTCGACAGGTAAGGGCGAAGCAGCCTGCTTTCTAACTGGTCTAATTGTTGTCGACTGGGGCGCAAAAACATCTACTATTGCTGCACAATTACAATTATTTGCTATCGACCCATTTTTTGCTCATTTCGGGACGGACTGCTTCGACTCAGCCTGTCGGGGCCAGTCCGGGCTCATTCCAAGGAATAGAACGGAGGTTCCCAATAAAGTTGGAGTATCGCTGATACTTTAACAAAGGTCCTAGACCACAAGATGTTTGGGTTTTTTAAAAAGAGGCTTCCAAATTGTGGCGCTACCTGAGAATTTGCACAGACGCAAACACTTGTTTGGCTCAGTGAACCATCTCGTAGTACAGGACCTTTGTTATTACTTGCTACTGTAGTGCGGTCAAAAATTATTGGCGCAACTTATTGCCATATAATTATATTATCTCCTCAACTATCAAACATAAACTAGGCCCTATTCAGCTTTTGCACAATGACTTGTATCAATATTTTTGTAAACACCTGTTAGCTGTGTTCTAGAAAAATCCCTTAATAAATACTAATTAAAAATCCAATCGATGGTTTCTACAGATCAATTTTTAAAAGTTTACACGCTCTTAAAAGTAAGTACCTCATTTTTTTCATTCGCGACATAATACTTATTGAATGCATGTTTCGAGAACCTTTAGTGCAAGAGTGTTTACTATAAGATTAATTTCTTGTAGCAAGTTTTGCCACTAAAAAGTGTTATTGTTGAGCTGTGACGTAGGCCACATACGATACAAAACGTGTGTTGTGTATGAAGCGGGGAGTGCTCTGAACAATCATATTTTCCGCATGGCGGAGATTTAGAGTATTTGGTGTAAATTTAAGGGGAAAGAAGTTGTTAAAATCTAGCCTCAATTATTATTGTTGTGGAAAAATATGATACAGACTGATGTGCAAAGTATGGGTGACATTGATTTACCCGTTAAAGAGATATATGAGGATAAGTTGCTCAACGAAGTTTTGACCGCACCATAGTCAAAGATCCTGTGCAATGCCACCAGGATAGTTCACCCCAATAGCGTCCCGTCTCTGCGCTAATTCTAAGGTGGCGCTACTGTCGTTGTTTTGGAGCGTTCTTTCGCTTCTCATTAATAAAAAAAATAGTCCATCTTTTAGTTTGAAAACCAATTCTACTGTTGTAATTCCGTACCGCGACCAACTGATTGTCCAATTGAGATTTTATCAACTACAACGTTATGGCTTCTCCAAGCACAATTTAAATTAAGTCAATTAAACGACGCAAAAGACTGCCCCGAAGAAGAAGCGGGACGAAAGACAGGCATTTGCAGTTGGTAGCCTTTGATTCTTTTTCATAGGGCTCAGTAGGCTTACCTTGCTTCACTCAGACTCAAACAAAGAAGCAAACAAACAAACAAGCAGACAAACAAATAGCCATTTCACCACAGGCGCCTTCACAATCATTGACTAAGATGTGGAGCATCAAAGTTCGTACCATGGCGGTACTCGATGTTTCTCGCCCTTCTTGGGTTCATTCAAATCAATAACGTGTGCAGTCGAAGGACCAAGTACACTGTACTTCTTTGGGGGAAAATTCTGTAAAGCAAATTTTAGATCATTTAGGAAGCGGTCTGCTTCGATCCTGTCAGTCAGGGCCATCCCAGGCTAACTGAGATGGATATAACGTCCCAGTAGACAGACGGGAACACTCAAATTTAAACATTCTAACTTGAGAATCGAACTCATGCATGCAACGTCGAAGAGCTTAACTGCATACACCATAAACGCCGGTACCAAATATATTTTTATATATGTGTTTGATGGGATGGTTGATAGTTAGGTGTAGGTTTAGCGTCTCTTTCAATGATTTCAAGACTGTGGCATTAATTATCTAAGAGGTGGGACCTCCGAATTTAACGTCAATCTGCAGCGAGATTGAGCCAAGTGGGCGGAGGGCGTTGAATGGAACGTTTAACTCAACAAACCAAACACAAGTACAGTCGGGCACAGATACATGTAACACGAACACTGAAAACTCGAAATCACGGACAATCTGTACACTTTGCCATTCCCAGACTGATATGTTTTTTTATTGTTCGTTATCAGTTAGCTGAATTGTCGATATGACGAACACATTTTTGTGTCACAACGCGGTGGAATAAAAAGGTCGTGAATTTTTGGCCTATAGTTATTGTTATTACATCTAGTATCATCTTAAAGTGTGTCCATTTGTCTTGTATTTGGGGAAAAAAATACCCATCTATCTTGAACCGAAGTAGAAGTGGGGGTCGCCTGCTGTCAGAGGTAAAATTAGCGAGAAAATGGCCACCAAAGTTTAATGACTTCCAAAGCTTGAGCGTCCTTGGAAACTTCAAATTTACATTTTTTGTGACGTCTTTCAGAAAAAAATCTACACAGAAATGTATTCTTAATGGCCATAGAAGAT